AGCAGAAAATCAAACAGATTTTCCTACGATGAGTAGATAGAAATTCAAACACACATATAATCATATAATTATCACTCAAAATCATATCAAGCATATAGTTTCAAACATAATTAAGATTAATTAACATAATACGAAATAGAGTTATCACAATATTAATATTACTTAATTGTAAATAAGAAGAACCCTAAATGTTTAATTAACACCACGAGAATAACAAATTAAAATACTAATAAAACAAATATATAAATCTAATTTGGCATTGGATTATTAAATATGTGATTAATTATTTGGGGCTAAACTAACACAATTATGAAATTATAATACTAATTGGGCCAAATTATAATTTAAGATTATATTAAAAAAATAAATAAATAAAAGGGCACGTCACCACCCTAGCACATAGGGCGGTGAATATGCATATATAGTAATAGGATAAGATCATCCAAGTATAAATGAGGAATTAATTTGAGGATGCTTAAGACGCCACCTGTAGAAGTTATTATTGGTAAACAGGTGTGAGTCATCACTTTGATGGTGGATATAAGGACGCGAAGAGTAGCTTGCTAAACAAGAAATAGTAGGGCAAGGCACGGGGAAGTTCGGAAGGAAAAACAAATAAAGAAAGGGAAAGAAAATATTGAAAGTCAAGAAGGTCTTTGATAGTAGAAAGAAAGAGTGAGGTATTAATTTTGAAGTGAGTGATATTATATCTTGAGTTACAATAATTTATTTTATGTAAATTGTGTTTTACAAATTATATTAGTATTTTTAATTTATGAACCTTATTATATATAATAAGGAAAACCCATAAATAATACTGTTTATTAAAATGTGTTTTGCGTAATTATTTTATAAATATCACCACGGAGGTCCCACGCCTTGAGGGACTTAAATAACCATTGGCTCTCTGATTAGTCACTTTGTGACCCTCTGTCTGTCATGGATCCACTGACACTCTGATTTCTGGTGTGGAGTAAAGTGCTGTATGGAGCTAAATGCTACACTATTGTGGGAGCCACCTCCAGAGTTCGTACGAGTCATCTCTCGAGTCCATACATCTATTATGTTTTGTTCCGTTCTGTACTGTGGTTATACTTATTTTGTCTATATGATTTCTGTATTATATGTCAAATGATTTTTGTATCATATATTCTGTATTCTAATATCAAGCTCTGTTTAGCTAATAATTATCCATGGTGAATTTTATGCCCTTTTGCTCTTAGTATAATATTTCTCACTCTGTCATGTGCTTATAGTTGTTTTCTAATTTTCATGAAACAATGCAATCCAAAAATAGGTTTTGGAGAGTCTTAGACAAGGGGCTTCAAAATAGACACACATAGTACTTTTATAGTATTTATAATTCTATTCTTCATATATAAATATCAGCCTTTTTAGTTAATAAATTTTGTTATAAAAATAAAAACTCCGATGATTATTTTGGTACCTCACTTAAATATTATTTTCACTCGCATTTATTAATTTGTGTAAGAATTGGCCGAAGGTAACTTTAGTTACTAGCCATCACAATGCTTAACCCTTGGGTATAGGGAGCGAGTCGTGACAGCTTCAGACCCATATACTAGGGAAAATGGAGTTGCTTGAGTTGGCTTCCTCTTTGACATTCTATATGCCCAGAGTGCTACGAGGAGTTGTTTGGACCATGTGCCCCCTGCTTCATCCATCATTTTACTCAATATTTAGATGAGAGTTTTGTTGGTTGCTTCAGCTTGTCCGTTCCCTTGCGGGTAGTGCGGGGTAAACTTGTGGTACTTGATCTGATAAGTGTCCAGCAATTTTCCCACATGACGGTTCACAAAGGGGGTCCCGTTATCTGACAACATCACATTAGGTTGCCAAACCTATAGATTATGTTTTCTTTGATGAAGTTGGCCACTCCTGCCCCATCTACCTTCCTCATCGGTATAGCCTCTACCCACTTGGTAATAACCTTAGTCGCTACAAGTATCTATCTGTGGCCTTTAGATTGCTGCGCTATAGGACCTACCAGGTTAAATACCCAAGTATGAAATAGGTAAGGGGTCTTGATGTTGTGCAGTTCAACCGCCGGTGCATGTATCAAGTTTCCAAACTTCTGGTAGGATTGGCATCCCCTTACAAAGTTTTTAGCAACTTCTTCCATTGTCAGCCAGTAGTAGCCGAGGTGAATAAGGTATCCATATAATCGTTGTGTTCCTTGATACTATGTCTTGTGAGCTTCCCTCAGCACTTTGTTTGCCTCATCATTTGATAAACACGCCAAAGGTTCCCCTTCAAAGCTTCTGTGATATAGCTTGCCTTGGTTACGGAAGAAGCGAAGGGCTTGCCTCTAAACTTTAATTGTATCGACTTTGTTCTCAGGTAGTGTGCCATTTCCAAGTTAGTCAATATACGGCTACCTACATTCCTCATTGCTTAAAAAATGGGCTTCTTCCTCTTTAGGATGAGACAAACATTTTGCACATTACTTCTGTAACTCAATGCTTTCATTTTCCATCTCTAACCAGTAATACCATTGTCTTTGTATCCGTCGATATAGACTGATATCTCCATATCCACAGGACTTAGCATGGATTCGCTTAAGTCTGTAAGTTGCTTCTTGTTTGCCAACACACCTTGCCAGCAGGTTGTTGGGATTGGAAAAATACAACTCTCTTCTGAGAAGCAGAAATGATGCAAGTTCTACTAATCTGATTGTTCCCTGGCCTGTTTTCAACTGCTGGATTATATCTGCTTTCCACCCCTCAGCATCTTGCTCTGTATGTTCTTTGGCTAACACTGCTGGTGTTGTTTTTTTCTCGATGACGATGGCTATACTATCATCTGGTATATCCACCGTTGCCCCTAGTGTAGCCAAGACATCGGGGAAACAGTTGTGTGTTCGAGGGGTATGTTGGATTTGGATGTCATCAAATTGAGTAAGCAACCTTTGAACTACGGTGCGACATGAGGCCAATAGAGGCTCATTCAAAGAGAAATCACTCATTGTTTGCTTGACAACTAACTTGGAGTCGTCCCGAATTTTCAACTTGCGAAGGCCTTTCTTTTGAGCAGCAATTAGACCCAGTATCAACGCCTCATATTTGGCCTCGTTGTTTGAACATTTAAAATCAAACTTCTCTCTTTCTTAATTGATTAGTATTATGCCAGCTCCACCTTTCCCAACCTCAGAAGCTCCATCAAATTTTAAGTCCCAATAAGTCTCAACTACAGTTGTTGAGACATAGACTTCACCTGGTAGAGGTACCTCTGCAAGTTCATGTTCACCAGATGAGAATTGGGCCAATAAGTCCGCAAGTGCTTGGCTCTTAATAGCCTTGGGAGTAACACAAGTGATGTCATATTCTGCTAGAGCCAAAAGCCATCTTGTTATTCTTCTAGTCAGAGCGGGCCTGCTCATAAAGTAGCGAACTGGATTACTCCAGGTCACAACCTGGATCGAGTGTGCCAAAAAATAGTGGCGTAACTTCTACACTGTGAAGATTAAGGCTAAACAATGCCTCTCAATTGGGGTATATCACGACTCGGCACCATTGAATTTGCGACTGATGTAATAGACTGGCTTCTTAATGCTATCTATGTCTTGGACAAGTAGAGCTCCAATAGACCGAGGTGTAGAGGTCAGGTACAATAGTAGAGGCTTTTTGGGTTGTGGGGCCATCATTGTAAGTGAAGAGGTAAGTGTTTTCTTCACCATATCAAATGCCTGTTGGTGTTCTTGCAACTATTCAAACTTGTGATTCCCTTTCAGCAGTGTCCCAAAGGAAAATGTTATCTCTGCAAGGGTTGGAATAAACCTCTTGAGGTATGACACTTTGCTTAGGAATTTCTTCAAGGCCTTTTGAGAGTGTGGTGGTGACATCTCTATGATTGACTTGATCTTATCCCTATCTACTTCGATCCCCCGCTGGTGTACAAGAAGCCAAGGAACTAGCCAGCGATAACTCTGAAGGCACACTTGAGAGGGTTCATCTTTAGGAAAAATTTGCGGCAACGATGAAATTTTTTTTCCAAGTCACAAAGGTGTCGTTTTGCCTCAGTAAACTTGACCACCAGATCATCCACATATACTTCCACTTTATGATGCAACATGTTATGGAACACTATGGTCATAGCCCATTGGTAGGTTGCCCCCGCATTTTTTAAACCGAAGGGCATCACTATATAGAAAAAATTTCCCAAGGGCGTTCTGAAAGCTGTCTTTTCCGCATCTTCTGGTCCCATTTTGATCTGGTTATAACCACTGAATCCGTCCATGAAGGAGAACATCTGATGGCCCGCAGTAGAATTGACAAATGTGTCAACATGGGGCAATGGGAACTCATCTTTCGGGTAGGCCTTATTCAGGTTGCGAAAGTCTATGCAAATCCTGATCTGGCCATTCTTCTTCTTCACAGGCACAATATTTGCTAGCCAAGTTGGGTACTGTATAGGCTCAATGAACTTGGCCTTATGCAACTTTTCTACATCTTATTTAATCTTTGCCTTAAGATTAGGGTGATTCTTTCAAACATACTGCTTGATTGGCTTAGAGTTGGGAAAAATGTCAGATGATAGGTGACAAGGGATGGGTCAAGACCAAGCATCTTGTCGTATGTCCAAGCAAAGACGTCACTGTACCGCTTCAGTAGTATTATCAATTTTGCCTTAGTTGCTAGATCCATTATATCGCTAATAAACACAGGCTTGCTTTGTCTTGGTAAGTCGCTAAAGTTGACCTCAGCAGGTACCTCTTGTTGTGGTTTGGGTCTATCTTCCATGTATTTAGGGACAGGCTCAGACGTCTCCACTAACCTTTCTTGAGACGCATCACCGTCACATTTATTTGCCTCGGGGCCATCCTCCCAAGGTATGAAGTTTGGCCCTCAAAACCGTCATAGGTAGTAAGCTGTCTTGCCGCCCTTACGCACCTTAACGATCTTGGGCGGATGACTTGTGGACTTGCTACTCCTCTTCTACCTACTACTTTCTGGAGCAGCCTCTACATCCCGAATGTCTTCCTACTTCAGCAATTTTACCCCTACAACTTTACCAGTCCTTGATATTTTATCCATTGACAAGTCAATAAAGAAAACTGCATCCGAATAGTGTACTTCCTCCACTTTAAATGGCTTTTCAGACTCATTTATGGTTACTGTGCGTTTTTCCAACTTTGCCTTCACGCATTGGTGATAACTTAACGGGATAGCCCCATATCGGTGCATCCAAGCTCTGCGAAGTATCATATGGTAGTTTGTGTCTGCTTCGATCACATGGAACTTAGTTGCGGAACGGATCTCACCAACTGCTAAATCCACGACAACATGGCCCTTAGTAACCTTTTTCTCACCACCAAAACCCGTCACGATGATGGGTTGGCAAACCATCCTGTACTCTAGGATACCAACCTTTGCAAAGGTGTCAGTAGTGATGATGTTTATGGACACCCCATAATCAAGGAAAGCACGCTTGAACTTTACATCATTAATGTAAGCTGTGACAAAAAGATGACGGTTATGTGGAAATGGGTATGCCCTGTCTGTTTCTGAAAAAGTAATGGCCTCATAATCTTCCTGGATACGCCGAGGCACATACTTCTTGACCTCAGTAACTTTGGCATGGTGTACTTCAAAAATGTTGATGAAGGCCTTTGTTGCTTCCAACCTGGCGGTGAAAGAAGGTATGAAACTTAATAGAGTTTTGCAAGGCCTAAGCATGAGTATTCTCTGCGAATTTTTCCTCTGCAGGTACTGTCTCAGGGAGCTGGCCACTAGCAATTTCTTCTAACTCATCATAGTTGGACGCCATGTGCATTTGATCACGCATGGGCCCAAGGTACCCAATCATATGTACATTCTTCCCTTCTCTTTGTGATTAGGATAAGGGTCCTTCTTTACGTCACGATTACTGACATCTTTGAACTTCAGCTCATTTGTGTCAACTTTCTTTTTCAAGACACTTTTCAAAGTCCAACAATCCCTAGTAGGGTGTCTGGTGGTTCTGTGATAGATACAATAATCTGGACTTTCTTTGTCCTTCTTCGTTGGAGGGACATCAACCAAAGGCAAAGTAAGTTCACCATTAGCTACCCATTCTTTAACCAAGGCCTTAACATTCTCAAGGCTGCAAGGATATGGATTTCTGTCCTCATAACTCTTTCTCTTTCGAGAGGATGACGCCTCCCCTTGCAAGCGGCTCCCTCCTGTAGAGGTTACCGCAGCAACTCCGCTACGACGAAGGTAGCTTTGGCTGTCACGAGATCTGTGCTAGGGACCAGTGGTACTGAGGTTCCTAGCTGTCTCAATCAAGGCTGAAAAGATAGACAGATTATGGTTCACCAAGAAAATTTTGTAGTCGCGTATGGCACCCTCCACACATATACTGACTAAGTGGTTTCATCCACTGGTTCATGACAGTCAATAGCTTTATCTTGGAACCGTTTAACATAGTCCAGTATATCTTCGCCTTCTTTTTGGACATCTCGCCCAAGTGTGAGGGTTGTAACTTTCTCTTGGACTTGGAAAAACTTCGTGTGGAACTTGTTCACCATCTCTTCCCAACTCTTGATCGAGTTAGGAGCCAAGTTCACATACCAGCTGTATGCCCTCTCAGTAAGTGATTTGGAGAACTCCCGAAGGCGTAGAGAGTGGTCACTGCCATGGACACCAAGAGTTTCAATGAACCTCACCACGTGTTCTCTGGCATTGCCTTGTTTTCCATCAAACTTAATAAACTTGGGCACTACATACCCAGTTGGGTATAGCATGGTCAATATCTCCTGAGAGTATAGGGGTTTCACATTTGGGTCTGGGAGAAATGGCAGTTGCTTTTTGTTACGCTCTTGCTCGAGCATAGCTTGTACTTCGGCTAGAGTAACGAAGTAAGTGGATTAGAATGGACCAGTCTGCTCTTGGGTAGCTGAACCAACGGCCGTACTGTTCACCTGAGGTACCACTGGAGACACCTAGATCAGAGCCTGAACCTCAAGGAACAGGTTTGGCACTGGCTTTGGGACTGCTATAGGCGGAGGTGCT